AGCTTAAAGGTGATCTAAAAGTACGGCCAGAATGACTAGGCCCATAATAAGTCTGAAAATACCAAAAAGATATCCTGGAAGATAAGAGCAGGGTCTTTAGAGATGAGACTTCAAAATATATGCCATTTAAAGAGGTAGGGAAGACTTACAAGACTTAAAAACAGCTTCACAGTGTTATAACAACAATGTCAAGGGTTTGGATCCAAATATCAGCCCACACCCCAACCGCCCCCCAAAAATGGAAGAAGAGAAAAGGCAAAGAAGAAGGACAAAGCATCCTTTGGCATTTAGTAATGACGGGGAAAAGAAACAAAAAGGGAAAAGAAAAATGCTCTTGCAGGACATGAGAGAACCACAGAATCAGAGCACTCAAAACTTCTCCCTCTGCCACCAAAACAAACAAAGAAAAGGGCTTAAAAGCCTGGACTTTGCTGTACCGACAAAAAATGGAATTGTTACAGTAGGATTTTTGTAAAAGAAACCAATATCATACAAATACACAAAAGGAAGAAAAATATTCCATACAAATCATTCTTAAAAAAAGTTGAGGAAACAAACCTTCACACAAAGCAAACAACCATAAAGCAGAAAGAAACTAAGTGAACAGTTCAATCAGAATTAATTATATTCAAACAAGCATTTGAGGATATGAGACCTACCTCGGATCAGAATATTTATAAAACTATAAAAATAGAAATGGACTAACAAGCTTCTGCACAGCAAAAGAAACAATTAACAGAGTGAAAAGACAACCGACAGAATTTGAGAAAATATTCACAAACTACGAATCCCACAAGGGATTAATATCTAGAATATACAAGGAACACAAACAACAGTAAATAGAAACAAACAAAAAAAAATCCAACTAAAAACTGGGCAAAGGTCAAAAAAATCCAACTAAAAAATGGGCAAAGGAGCTGAATAGGCATTTCTCAAAGGGAGATACACACATGGCCAACCTACACATGAAAAAACGAATGCTCAACAGCAGTAAGCAGCAGGGAAATGCAAATCAAAACCACATTCAGATATCACCTCACACCAGTTAGACTGGCCAGAATCTGAAAGACAAAGAATAACAAGTGCTAGAGAGGATGTGGAGAAAGAAGGGCCCTCCTACACTGTTGGTGGGACTGCAAGTTAGTGCAGCCCTTACGGAAAACAGTATGGAGGTTCCTAAAAGAACTAGAGATAGAGCTGCCGTATGATCCAGCCATCCCACTGTTGGGTGTATACCCAAAGGAATGGAAATCATCATGTCGAAGGGATACCTGCACTCCGAAGTTTATCGCAGCTCTATTTACAACAGCTAAGAGTCAGAAGCAAACTAAATGTCTACTGACAGATGACTGGGTAAGGAAAATGTGGTATATAGACACAATGGAATACAAGTCTGCCATAAAAAGGAGTGAGATTCTACTATCCACAGCAACATAGATGAACTTAGAGAAAATCATGTTAAGTGAAATAAGCCAGACTTACAGAAAGAGAAATGCCACATGTCCTCACTCATAAGCGGCAGCTGAAAAAGGAAAGGAAGGAAGGAACAAAGATGCATCAATCACAAAAATTCCTTGAACTCTCAAAAGGAGAGGACCGAACTGAGGACACCAGTGGTGGGAAAGGGGGAGTGGGAGGAGAGGTTAAGGAGGAATTGGTAAAGGGCCACAAAAAATTATTTACATTGTGTAATGATAAAAATATATTTAAAAAGTCTGAAGTAAAGATTTTACATCCAGCAGGGCTGACCCTTCAAATATCACAGCTTATAGAAAAACAGTTTTCAACAGACAGGAACTTAGGAGATTCTGCACCCCTCAACCCTATCTGAGGAATCTAATGGAGCAGGGGTCTGTAAAATGTGGCCCATGGGGTCAAATACAGTCAGGTTCTTGGTCTTGTAAATAAAGTTTTATTGGAACACAGACATGCTCATTCATTTATATCTTATCTATAGATGTTTTTGTGCTGCAATGACAAAGTGCAATAGTTATGACAGAGACCCCATGGTCCACCAACTTAAAATATTAGGTATATGGCTCTTTACAGGAAAAGTTTG